TACAGAGAAAAAATAATTGCCCCTTTCCATCCGGACAGAAGACAGATCTGTTGTTTGAAAATGTTGATGCAAAGAATATCTGGATGGAAGGATACCAAGCACAGCTGGAGATTGGGTGAAGCATAAAATGGAAGTTTCATGCAGTCCTAAAGGATAGACTCCCCATCCCTTGGCTCCCAGAGCATAGGGCAGCCTTATGACTCTCCAGAGGGGTTTGGAGGTGAATTCTTTAGTAAAATTGACCAGCCTAAGGAAACAACTCCAGATAATCATATTTGAAAAAGTTAGCTGGTCATCATATTGTCCTATAATAAAGTCCACTACTAAATACGTCCCCCCACACACAGAGCTTCTGGAGAGTTCTTTAACATCTCACCCTTAAATGTAAACATACAGTTGAGGATTACCGACATCTCAAGAGAAGGTTGTAATAAGAAAGGAAAGAGATCAAATTTAATATTCAAAAAAGAGCACTTGAAAGAAATAGCCCATACAGGAAGCACAAGAAAACTATTTTAAATATTCTAAACAAATGTAAGACAGCAGCAATTATAAGACGCACCTTTGTTTTGTGTGCCCTTAGAAAGAAAATGTTCTACTTCTTAAATTATGACAGTCCACCAACTGTAAAGTGAATCCCAATCTTAGATAAGTTAGAATGCGAATGAAGTGATTTCTAGAACTGATGAATGGGTAAACTCACAATACTGCAGCCAGGAAATAAGATCAGGGTTTGTTTTTGTTTGTTTTTTTTTTATAGAGGCACTCACGGCATAAGAGAGAGCGCTTGGAAATTAAAAATATGATCACAGAATGAAAGAGGTTAAATTTGTTTCTGTTTTAGAAGAGCAAGAGATAATTTTTAAAAATGTATTATCATTAACAGCAGTATAAGTAGGTTGTAGACTGGGCCTCCTCTGGTGGCGCAGTGGTTGAGCGCTGGGCTGTGAAGCTGCCTGCAGCCTCTGCAGTGCCGGGTTCCATCCCTGGCCGACGGCGAGGGTCCCACATGGCACGACAGACCTCTCCTGCCATGCCCGCTGCTCCCCTCAGCAGTGTATTTCGTCAGTCTGCCTGTTGTGCTCCCTGCTCTGGCTCTGGTGAATTCTCTCACCCTCCCCTGCTTCTGACTGTACCCAATGCTTGTATAAATCAATAAATAAATCTTAAAAAAAAAAAAAAAGGCTGAAGACATATAGGAGGGAACAGCAGAAGAAGCCAATTCCAACATTAAGGATTATTGCTTCTAAGGAATGGGAGGCAGGGTCAGCAGAAAAGGAGGTTCATGTTTGTCTATAACACTTCAGAGGAAAATGAATTCATTGATATTCACAATGTGGATCCTTTACATTAATTATATTGCTTTAAATCTAAAAGGTCATGTGTTGTTTTGATGTAAACAACTTCGGGGCAAGGAGACAAGCTACATCCATGGGGAGAGCCAACAGTTAAGGTCTCGGAAGTGCCAAACAATAGGGTGAACGGGGCAAGAGCAAGAGTGGGATTTACAGGACTGAGAAGTCAGAGAAGCAGCCAGAGGGGGAGGATGTCTCCAACATCAGCGCCATCTAAACTGAGAAACAGGGCCTCCCCAGTGGCGCAGCGGTTGAGCGCTGGGTTGCAAAGCTGCCCGCAGCCTCTGCGGCGCTGGTTCGATCCCCGGCTGCTCCCCGGCCACTGGAGGAGGGTCCCGCATGGTGCGCAGACCTCTCCTGCTGCCCGCTGCTCCCCTCAGCAGTGTACTTTGGTCCTTCTGCCTGTTCTGCTCCCCGCTCTGGCTCTGGTGAATTCTCTCATCCTCCTGCGCTTCTGACTGTACCCAGTGCTTGTATAATCAAACAAACAAACAAACAAACAAACAAATAAAAACATGCCTCTATAAAAAAAAAATTTAAAAAAAAAAATAAAATAAACTGAGAAACAGCGTCAGGGACAAAGCTAAGTCTACCTCTCACAAACATAACACCAACACCCTGGGAACTGGAAAGACTGGCCTGACTGCCTACCACAAAATGAATGAAGGAAGATCTTTATCATCTCCAAGATAAAACTAATAATTTTACAAGGTAAGATTAGGAAGCGTTAGAACATGCAGGTGTTTCTTCATTGCTGTCCAGGGGAGCAGCTTTTCAGTGCAACCCCTGTGCGCGCAATGTTGTGCCTCATCCTTGTGAATAAGCCAGACGAGACAAGAACCGGGTAAAGGTATGCTGACCTGCCAGGGTCAAAAGCAATGATTCCTAGCTGTCTGTGACACTGATCCCATCAAAAATCAGAGGCGAGGTCTTAGCCCCTCTCTCCAAAAATATACACACGTGCACACAAAATTTTGAACATAATTATGAAGTTAATGCACCCTGAGTCAAGAAACCCTCATCCACACAGAAGTCAGGGAGACTCGGGAGAATTTGGAAAGAGCCACCTACTAAAGTACCCACTCCCGTGTGTTTGATTTCATTTCTGTAGGAATGAATATAGTCACGCATGCACCACATTTGGTGTGCAGTGGATATGCTGTCCAGACCTCTGTGAGGACCGTCAGAACTTCAGAGAGCTTTACACTGAGAGGTGAATGACATTTTATGTCCGTGCTGACACATGCATGCAGCTCTGTGGCCTTCCAGAACGTATGGTTGTGGGTATCTGCACACCTGTTTAAGCATTTTTAGGTGGTGAGGATTCCACCCCAGACTGGACCACCACATGTCCTGAACCTGCTCTCCTGGGTACTCAATAAATAGCACCTGATGGTCTAGGAAATAAGGGTTTATACTTCAGAGGAAAACAAGTCACTACAGATGAAGAGGAGACAGAGTCCTAGCCAGACTGTCAAGTGTGTGAAAGAGTAAAGAGAAATTGACACCTGAAGCGTGCATGGGGGCAGGCAGTGTGCAGGGTAAGGAAGGAAATACTCCAGCCTGTGTTGCCTGCCAGGCTCACTTGTAGGGCCCGAGACATTTAATCTTCGGGTCATGGGTTCAACCCCATGTCGGGCACATTGTTATTAAAAGGGTCAGACTGATGTAGTGGAAAAAGAAAGTCACGCAGCCAGGAGTCAGGGAATGCAGCTGATCTTGGCTCAGCCACCACACAGCGCATTCTAAATTAAATGCCAGTGCTCTGGAATTGGAACCACTCTTGTGGTAGAGGCCAAACACCTCCATGAAGACACCCGTGAGCAAGAGCCACCAACCGTGTGGGTGACCTGGAAAAACCACCAGACAAGCGCAGGCAAGCACCTGGGGAGCCCTCGTCCGAGCCTTGCCGGCGCCCCAGTGACGCTCAAGGGCCTCTCCAGTGGGCTTCTCTTCTAACTTTAGATTCTGATGCTCCCCAAAGAGCTTTAAACACCCTATTGTGGAAACCCAATACTATCTCCCAGCATAGTCACCCACAGTCTAAGTGAAATCGAATGCCTGGCTCCGATTAGTACAAATAAGAGCAGCACAAAGACCTAGAAAAGAGAGGAGTTCTAGACAGAAGAACACCAGTCTTGTCTTGTTTACCATCTCCAATTGCATTAGATCAAGGGCTAGCAGCTGTGAGGCCCGGCCACACCAGCTCCCATTTTTTGGCTCCCAAAGCCCCCTCTTCCATAATATTCACCCGATAAATATCTACAGGGGGAACTCAATGGGCACAACTAAAACACATGTAAGTAGGAAAGAGGAACTAATCTTCAGAACCGGAATAGGTTATTATAATGAGCTCTAACTTCTACTTAAAATTATAATTTTATTTATAAAGTAGGTTTTAATGATGGCACAAAGAAAAGAGTATTGTAATCTACTACTAGACATAATCTCTAAAGCACTAGTATTTGGTTTAGAAGATAGTATGATCTTTGTAGCAGGTATACTTTCCCTGATGAGATTGTGCTTACACTGCCATTAAATTAAGATTAATATGCTGAACACAGAATAACGGATGACCAAGAAGAATTATCCAGTAGTGTGTTGGGATGCCAAATTTGCCCAATGGATATCATTATGAGGACAACCTCTGCTGAAGACTGTTGAACATCAACAACCTCAGGAAGGAGGCCAGACAAAATGACACAATTTTTGAGCTTTTATACCAGAAAATTAGTATGAATCTAATAAAGTAAAACAGCATATGTCAAGACTTCGATATTTTCAATATTGGGACAGGCTACTAAAGGCAGTACCACTGAAGTAAGCTCAGTGCCCTCTGTGTTCTTTCATATTCCTCAGGCAAAGGGTTTGGAAGATGGCAACACTATCACAGGTTTCCATAAACTGGGGCTCTACTGCAGACACTCTACTTCTTTCATACTTGGGACTATGCTGTCAGAGTAAAATACACATTGGATTTCAAAGTCTGTGTACAATTTAAAAAAAAAATTTCACTCATAATTTTTACCTTGATTAAATGTTGAAATGATATTTTTAACATTTGAGTTAAAGTGCATTATTAAAATCAATTTCACCATTTTTTACATTTTTTTAAATGTGATTACTAGAAAATTTCTAAAATTTATAAGGTGTGGCTCACATTATGTAACTACAGGACAATGCTGATTTAGAAGTCAAAGGATACTTTAAGGGTATATAATATATAAAATATTGAAGACACTACTAATATATTTCTAAGACCCTTTGTATATAATTTGACAACAAATTCCTATAAAGTATAATATAGCACAAGTATAAAAGATGTGTCCTTTACTGAGTCCCAACTTTTTGACAGGTATAGTGCTGAATGCTTCAGATAGTATATCTATAATCCTCCCAAAAGAGAAGAGGAATTTGGATCAGGGAGACTGAGAAATTTGCCCCGCCTCACACTACTGAGGTGCTAGATCCAGGCTCTGAGTGCAGCTCCATCTGAAGCCAATGCCTGTATTCTACAGAACTCAGGTGAAGAAATCAGAAATGATCAGAAATGATCCCCTCTTTCGAAGTGGGTCATTATCCAATGTGGATAATGATAGCCATCTAGCTATCATTAATAACGTGTTCCTTTCTGCTTTAAAGACAGAGTCCACGGTTTGGAAGACCAGCCACCTGCCCAATGAGCCAGAGGGGCCTCTGCTCATCCTGTTTTGAGAAAGGATCTGCAGCAGTGATACAGAGGTTTGTGAGACAGTTACACACAGGAAAATCTTTTATTTTAAAAGAAGTAAAGAGGGGTGACACAGCAACATGTAGCAGAGGCACCAAGTAAGATGTGGTCAGCTGACCTCAATGCCCCTCTAAAGGAGTCTCTCTGCTTAATACTTAGCCTGGTCTACAATTCTGACCTTAATCCACTCCTAGAAAATGCATTGGCAACAGCAACACTATGGAGCAGGAAACTCTAGAATACTTGATAGGAAACAGCAGAAGTGGACAAGAACACACAGAGAGAAGCACACTTGCCACTAACTGGGCCAGATGACCCAAAGAAAGAGCCTTCTAAAACCCAAAAACAACTTCTGCCACCAAATTTTGGAAAAATAAGGCATGCAAAACATTGCCACTCCTTCCTTCATCTTCTCCCGAACATGCTCCTAGCCGAAGAGTTGATGGAAGTCTACAGACCTCTGCTCAGCATGACCACAAGTACCCACAAAAGGCCATTTTCCTTCCCGCAACAGTTGGAAAAGGGTGGGGGGAGGGGAGGGAGAGAGGAAAACCAGCGAGAAGAAGGCACACATAGAAAGCAACAGGGACATTCAGAGCTGAACCTGGGAATCTTTGAATGGCTCAGAATGGGACACTTTGTCACCTCTGATTTAATTAGAAGACTGTTTTCAGGATGCCCAAGGTCTAGGCTCATAATCAAGCACTTACGTAATCCTCCTCATTGAGTCCTTGTTTCTCAACAGAACTTTTCACCTCCATGGAAAACTTCTCAAACTCAGGTTTCACTGTCCTCAGTAGAGTGATTGTTTGGAGGGATGAGTACGCTTGCTTAGCTTCAAAGTCGTGTTTGTCTCCTCTCTTCCACGAGCCATCTCCTACGGGAGAAATAAAAATATTTATAATTCTGAGCCGGTCACCATAAAAGGGCCATTCTCCCTTTGCAACTGTGTCTCTACATGTTACTTCTGGCAGCAGGGGCAAGAGGTATTGTCACAGTTTTGCACTAAGGTAGAAGGTGACAGTGTCAGGCCGTCAAAGGAAAAGACTGTGCCCTTTGAAACTCGAGAGAGAAAGAAAGCGCTGTTGAGTTCACCGCCTCATAATAGCCACATAAAGGTGATTTTCTGCCTTCTGGACATGCAGCACAGCCAGGGTGCGAAGTGGTTTTATTCCCTTTTATTTCCTTCCACTCACACTTACTTTGTAATACCTGAGGCCAAGGTACTACTGTGATCAATAAACCTGATGGTTATGTCGATACACAACAGCTGCAGTCTGACGACAGATATGCACAAATATTACAGAGCCTGTTGAAAGAAATCACTTAGCGATGGTTGATATTTCTTGAAATACTTCTTGCACCCCTTCAGAGTGAAAAGTAACCTAGGTGAAGGTGAGCATTTCTCTCTCTCTCTCTCTCTCTCTCTCTCACACACACACACACACTCTCTCTCTCTCTCTCTCTCTCTCTCTCTCTCTCTCCAGTGTTGGCCACATGATATAAATTGTTGATTGACAATATTCATCAATAGTGAAGAAATGAAAATTGCTAACAGAGAGTGCCTCTGTAATAGTGAAATCTCACTGAGCAATGAAAATGTATAAACTCATTTAATCTCACAAGACCCCACAATGTGAGTACAACTATTCTCTCAATAAACAAATACACCAATAAAGAGAAATCAAAAAATAAAATGAAAACTGAAGTAAGATCATTCCATTCAGAATTATACTGAAAGTCCTCAGAGGTGCATTAAGAAAAGAAAAAGTATTAAAAGCAGGAGGATTGGGGTGAGGGGGAATAAAGCACAAAGCATAAAAATGAAATGCTCAAGGAGACAGGATATTTTATAACTAGTATTTGAAAAAGCAGTTACCCCCACTGTTTTCCAGATGAGGAGATCGAAGCATGGAGAAGCTGGCACCCCGCTCCTTCACCGCCCGCCTCTTCACAAAAGCAAAGGTAAATTACAAGGGTATTAAATCATTACCCTTCTCTTTGCTATTTGGTTTTTGAGAAAGCATGTCATATGCAGGCCACCTAAAGGAAACATGGACCCCTAACTTGTGACAGTCATTGTTCCTATGAATTATCATGATTCCTGAAATCTCTTCAAGGCATTCAACCTGCTCGGGTCCAATGCCAAGGTCACTTGTTCCCTATGATTCCTGACTCCACAGCAGATGCTGGAGCCCCGCTGAGCAATGTGGACACCCCTGGAGAGGCTGGAAGGGCCCCCCAGGGCTCACTCTCCTCTTAGTTCAGTGAGATGCTGTTGGCTTTGGAATTCCTATGACCACTTAAATCAGACAAGCCTGGCCTAACTGGGTACCAGGTGCAAGGTTCTGTGATAGCTACAGTGGGGAACGTGACTGTCCAGAACAGTCTCCACCACCTTCAAAGGAGGAATTTAGAGACTGACGTGTCACCAGCTGAAGATACTACAGGGTCACAGCTCGCTATGGCATGGGGGATGAGGGGGCAGTAATAAAGAAACAGTGCAGTGTATAGGGGACGAGGCAGTGAGCCCCAACAGGGGAAGGTTTCATGGGAGAAGGAGGCATCAGCCTGGCCCTAACTGTGCAAATAGGATTTTAACAAGAGGAAGGGCGGGCAGAAAAGCACTGGCAAAGGTGAAAATGCATACGGCAGCTGGGGGCCTCCGTCTGCTGCCTTCTCAAAGCATGAGAAAAGACAGAGACAAAGAATTCGTGGAGGCACCTGTATAATCATCATCCTAATAATAGCCACCATTTATTAATTGCCTAGTACGAACAAGGGAGCTGTTAAGGGATAAATCAGACAGACCTGAGGACACAATTCATTAAGGGCTAGATCCACTCTCAATGAGCACAAGATTAAATTTCAGGCTACCAAAGAAAACTTGATAAAGTCCTCCTCCTCCCATAGGGAACCTCCTTAAAAACACCAACGAGGTCTCAGCACTTGCCTGTGCTCGTGAGCAAGTTAGGGACATGTCCCTGCCGGAGCTGGCTGGCCCCAGCTGGTGCTCAGGCCCCGCAGCATTGCCTGTAGGGGCTGAATCCATTTGCCAGGAAGTCCAAATTATGAACACACCCAGAACATCCTCACCCTAAGGAGCAGCCCATCTCTTACAGGCATGCAGGCATCTTCATTAATTCGTCTATAATTGGCATGAGGCCTCAGGACTCAGCCGGAGTCATGTTTCTTGGACAAAGAGGGTCAAAGCTTCTCAGCTCCGGGAGATAGTTAACCCTATAAAGTTTTATGCCATGTAAATGGAAAATACACGTAGAACTGGAAGTAGCAACTTACTATTTTGAAAGAAGTAAAATCTGTACAATAAGTCTGTCTACCACAACCTAAAAGATAATAACTTTGGGGTTTATTTTCTAGAAAAAAGGGATGGAAGCAACAGTGCTAAGTAAGTAGGAGCCAAAGTGTTACAGCCAAATTCTGTCAGGGAAGCAGGCAACACTCAGGAGGGAAGATCTTTATTTACGCCTGCGGGCTTTCCGGGCAGGCCCAGAGGCGATCTCTCTCCAAAGTCTAAGCCCAGAGCAACTAGGTTACAGAGTGTTTATTGACTGAAGCAAGGGGTACGGTCATCTGGAAATGCATGAATCAGGGTGCGTGTGGTCTTGAGGGCGCTTATCAGCTGTTCCCTGAAACTTCCAGTCCACAGGCTCTGTCCCAACTTCAGCTAATCAACAGGTCAGCCTGACATTTTCCACTTCAAAAGTACATCCTATCACCACCATGGCCCAAACTGTGACCGCCAGCATTTGTGGGTGTTTCTTACCCATGTCGGTGGCACCCCCATACCAGGCTGAGGAGGGCTAGGAAAGCAGAGGCTGCTTGGCATGACCCCCCACTGGTAGAGACAAATTGAAGTCAGTGGACAACTGGGTGTCTCTGGAGATTTACGAGCGAAACAGAAGAATGGCATGATCAGAGCCACCCCTGGGAAATGGTAATGGTCTGGAATGGGGAGACACCGAGGTTCAGAGTGATAGCCGTCCAGAGAGAGGTTAGGAGAGGTTATACGGGGGAAGCCACAACCCTCGAAATTAAACATGGTTCTCTGTGTGATTAGAGTAAGGACATGTTTTCTTTTCTTTCCTTTGTTTGTGTCTTTATAAATCTAGTCAGTTTTCAATAATACATAGTTACTGCTTTTTAAATCATAAAGAGAGTCCCTGAGTGAGAGCAGAGGGCCTTGCAAGAGGAATCTCAAGACTCCCCCAGAGTTAGGGAGTGAGGGACAACAGACAGAGGTGCGTCATCACTGGCAGTGAGGCGAGGGACAGCGGGCTGTCAGGTTGTTGTTTGTCCTTAGAGGCCAGGGCAGAGCCAAGTGGAGGCGGTGGAGGGGTGAGGTGGGCGTGGAAGTGACAGTGATTTCAGTTGGGCTCAGCAGCCCCCAGCAGACTGACTATCCAGGTAACACCACCAGGCTGGAGAGGCAGTAGCAGCCTGGACCCAGAAGAGCAGTAAGAGTTCAAGAGAGTTGGGCGGCCTTTCCACACAGCAGGTGGGTAGAAGCCAGGACTGGCTGCGCTGGGTAAGAAAGAAAGTGCAAAAAGAGACGGAGAAGAGCTGAGCACAGACACTTTGGGCTGTTATTTTTAGTGGGCAAGAGGAGGCGAACCTAACTGAGAACCAGAAAGATTCCAAACTAAAAGCTATGAGTTTCCAGAAAGAGACAGATGGAAACAATATTGAGGCTCCAGAGCCGAGCTGTCACATCAGGAGCCTCCCTAGCCACACATGTGACTGTTTAAATGTAAATTAATTAGAATTCAATAAAAGCTAGAAATTCAGTTCCTTGGTCACACTTGGCACATTTCAGATGCTCAGAGGCCACATGTAGCTAGCGGGTGCTGTATGGAGCGACGCAGACAAGAGCCCAGTCAGCATACCCGAGGGGGTATCCTGATATTAATGCAATAAAAATAAGCAAATAAATAAAGGAAAAAATGATCCACACTATAATTAACTGTGACAGAGACACATGAGGTGAGCACATGCTGACAGGAAAATGGTGCCACAGATTGGCTCAATGCAGGGTTTTCAATCTGTAAAACACACATCATCTGCAAAGTGCAAAAAAGGAAAATGCGATAAAATAAAAATAAAACAATAATAATAAATTTTAAAAGCTCAATATCAAGTGTGTATTCATTAACAGAGAGCATTTTTCTGGAATGGCGTAGCTTGGTGTGAGGAAGCACTAGGAAAGGATGCGGTAGACAGACTTTTCCAGAACACACATCTCATTCTTAGGACACAAAATCCCAGGGAAGGCCCTTCACTGATGACAGGCACCAGAGCTTTGGTCTGGGCCACTCTGCCTGCCCTAGGATTCTGATATTGCTCCTACTCTGTGGAGGAAGCAAGCAGCAGCAGCAAACACCAACATGTATCTCCCTATATCCATTCTCCCTTCTTCTTTAGTAACAGATTCCTGAGATGATTTGGGGCAGCAGTGACTCCAACTAAAAGTATACATACATTTCCTGACCACTCTTGCTAGCTGGGGAAGCCAAAGATAGGTGAGCAGAAGTTAATGAGAGGGGCTGGCAGGACAGCCTTCCAAAAGAACTGAATCAACTGATCTGGTTTCGCGTCTCATCTTTCCCGTCTAGTCTAGAATTAGGACACAATTTCTGGAGCCCTACCTTGTGATCTTGAGGACATCATGCACTAAACTTGAGGGAGCAGAAAAATTAAGTTGGACTCCTGTTGGCATTATGGAACCACTGTCTCTGGTCCTCTCTGGACTGCTTACAGGTGAAAGAATAGCCCCCAATAGTGATTTGTTTCAATCACTAAAGCTGGTGTCTTGGCTATTTGCATGCAGATGTAATTCCCAATGCCCGCAGGTCCTTAACATGTAGTAGATAAAACAGGTAACAGAATACACAGTCCTAACTCTATTTATAAAACTAACCACAGGAAAATGTACAAACCTAACTTAAGCACTATGCATAATTGTCAAAGTAAACTGAGACTAATAGTAAGTATAGTTACCACTTACTAAATACTCATGTTCCAAGGAGTTTACTGTGTATCTCACATACATCCAGTCAGCCTGATGCCAGATGGTAGATACAGTTATTATTGTTGTTAGAACTAAGGCTTCAAAGGAAAGCAGGGTTAGGTCAATTTCCAAGAGCTAGCATGTGGAACATTCTCTCATGCAGACTGACATCAGAGCCCAAACCTGAGCAACCGTACTGCAAAAGGTTAGTAAAAGGGGAACCTCATGGGGAATGCCCAGGATACTTGAAGGTTTGCAAGAGCACCCTATATATCTCTATGCAATTAAACTTTCAAGAAGCAAAAAAAACTGAACTCACAGAAAAATGTCTTTAAAAGTTGTCCAGACACCTCCAGCAATAAGATATATATGTATAATCAAATATATATAGCTGTGTATATGCATCTGTATATATATACACACATATATGGTGTATGTATATTTGTAGGTAGATATATATCTGCCTTCTTATGCATTGAGGACACAACATCATTTTTCCAGTATTCTTACAAGAAGTATATAAACTCAGTCTTAACAGGTGAAAATACCAGATAAATCTAAATTAATTCTACAAAATAACAGACCCATCCAAAGTGTCACATCATGAAAGACAAGGAAAGATTGAAAGACTATCACAGATTGGGGGAGTATAAGGGGACACAATAACTAAATACAACATGAGATCCTGGATTGGATCTGGAAACAGAAAAAGAACATGTGAAGAAAAGGTAGAAAATTTCAAATTAGGCCTAAGACTTAGTGTAGTGTGCCTGTGTTAATTTTCTTATGATCATTGCACTGGTTATTTAAATAATTAACATTATGGAATCCAGGGGAAAGGAAGACATGAACTCTGTAATATTTTTGTAAGTTTTCTGTAAATCTAAAATTATTTTAAAATAAATTTTTTTTTAAGTTTTCTAAAAATTACCTCTAAAAAGAAGTTAGGTCCAGATACAGAGTGGAATTGTTTCCATCTTTCAAGGTCTATTCTTATGGTATATATACTGTTCTAGAGCATAAAAACAATGGGAATTGTTCCAATAAGTTTTATAACGCTAATGTAAACCTAATATTAAAATCTGGCAATACCATCTCAAGGCAAGAAAATAAGTGTCCAATCTTCACTCACAACTATATATTCAAAAATCCTAAATAAAACACTAAAAACTCAAAAATCAACAATATGTCTAAAAAAAATCATCAAGATAAGTACCTTAACTCCCAGTGTCTCAGTATTAGGAAGTCTATTTTAAAAATAGGGCAAATGTATTTAGTAACACTTATTACCTACTTTTTAAATCATATTTAACACACTAGGAATAAAAGGATACTTTAACATCTACTTAAGACAAGTCAAAGTATCACCACTGGTCTATACTATTATTCTGGAAGCTCTTGTCAAGCAAAAAGAAATAAGGTATCCGGCTATCCAAACATGGGGGAAACTGCTACTGTTTGTTGAAAATGATATAAAAATTAATATAATAACATATTAGTATTATTAAATGATTTGTGTTAATATTACATTTAAATTAATATAATAATTTAATAGGCAGCATCCTGGCAAGCTAAATAAAGAAAATTCAGAGCTTTTTATGTGATAATTAATTTTGAAAATGTGATGGGAAAAGATCACAAGCATAGTGACAATTCAAAAACATAAATGGTGCAGAGTATAAGTGAAGAAAACAGCAAATCTTTGCTCATGAACATAAAAAGAAATTCAAATAAATAAAATAATTTAAAAGTTAGGTGGTGCAGGATTGACAGGATGTAGGAAACCAATTTCACTCATTGTTGCAAAAAAAAAAAAAAACTCTTTAGAGGACAACTTGGGCATCTATCTGTCAACACGTAAACACACATCATTTTTGACTCAGAAATTCTACTTTCAGAAAATGATCTTACAGGTAATATGTAGCCCTGTATATAAATGCGTGTGTGTGTGTGTGTGTGCTTCATCTGTGAATGAAAGGAATTTGGGTTCCTAACATGAGTATTGCATTGGCCCATTCACACACTCACCTCCAAATTCTACGTTTGCGGTTGCCAACTTGCATGACTCAGATTAGATGCTTTTCACTTTTACCAGTTCCCACTACTATCTCAGTGAATTCAGTGCTGAGTTACAAGCGCGAGCTGCTGGTGGGGGCAGAAGGAAAGCGCCCGCCTGCTCTTGTAATGAGAGGCGGAAAGACAACCACGGCAGGAAGACGGGAAAACCAAGCTCCACTTTTATCAGCCGCAGGAGGCCTGGGCTACTTTTGTCCATTGACTTTTCTTCACCTCCATGAGAAGTGGGTTTTATTGTCTAAGCACGCAGCTCTATTGCTTCCGTAAACTGGGCTGCCGGAGAGCCAAGCAGAGGTGTATGCTTTGAAGATTAAAATCAAACTCTGTCTCCACAGCAAGAACTGGGGAATGGAACTCAATGTGCACGGCCCTGTGTGGTGAACACACCTCACGGCTCCCCATCAGAGCTCGGTTTTGAGCAACGAAGGTACAGTACTTGGAAGAGTGTTCCCCAATCCTACATGTCTACTCAGAGAGCGCCCCCAGCCACACTCGGGAGGTGTGCCTGGGAGGTGTGCTCCTGACAGCCTCCTCCTCATCCTCCTCACAGAAGTCTGGCAGCTTCCCCAGCTCCACCTAAAGGAATCACAAGCTTTCAGTCCTGTACACTGATGCTGTCAAACTTCAGTCTCAGATCTGTTTGAGAGGCAGTGATCTGGAAGGAGCGGGGCTGTCAGCAGTGGGTTCAAAATGTTTACCTCAGTTGACAGTACTGGTCCATTTATTAGTTTTACAATGCAGCCCTTCACAAACACACATATAACATGCACAAACATATACACACATACAGTTGTCTCTCTAAAAGAAAAGTTTCATGAATCAATACATAATTCTACATGTGACACACTCGGACGTGTCCTCTTACAGTGAGATGTTTTGCTCTAGTCCATACTATTAAAAATTCTGCCCAAATCTCACTAGATTAATCCCTCATGGGGGAAACAACGGTGCTGCTGGGAGGGCAGCAGGGAGGGGTCTTTGGGGCCTGGCTGTGCCACCACTTGGAGAGCTGAAGCAGCACAGGCAAGTCCCCTTGGCTTGAGAACTTACCAGAAGTCGTGGGAATGTTCACAAATTACTAAAATCCAACTTAATGGAAATCAGATCTACTGACGTTCATTCAAAGCGCTGGCTCCCTCGCGCACCCCCTGTGTGACACCCAGCAGGGGAGGCGAAGCTGGAAGCAGTTACCGTAGGAGGAGCTGTTGAAGAGCTCGATGTTGAAGAAAGCGTAGTCTCCGCTGGTCATCCCGTGCCTGTGCGCCGCCAGCATGATGCCCCGGACCGTGTCGCTGCTCGCACACATGATCACCACTGGGGAGGGAGGAACAGACGACACGCGTGAGTCGCCCCTCACCGGGGACAGCCACGACCGCAGAGCCGCGGGGACGTTTGACGAATGACTTGCAGATTACCGCGGGGGCAAGTAGGGGGGCAGTTCCGTGGAGAACCCAGCATCCCCGCCCGCCAGCACCCCTAAGCGGGGCGCACAGACCAGAGCTCACGACCACCCCCACCCCCCAAGTGGAAAACGTCCAAGAGGCAGCCTGAATCCAATCCGGAGGACGCAGGGGCCTACCCAGCCTGGGCCAGTGTGGAGACGCGCCTCCCGCGGTCTTTACAGGGTGGGTGTCATGAAAAACAGGGGGAAGCGCTCCAGACCAACAGAGACTTAGCAGAGCAGGAAACTAAGGCAATGAGTGACCTCGTTGGGTTAGGAACCTCAAGAAAATAATGAAAGTCCTGTATAAAGGGCATTATTGAAACTACAGGAGAACTCGGAAGGGGGTCTATAAATTAGGTCATTGTATTGCATTTGAGCCCATGTTCTGGCGGTGCCATGGGGTAAGGGGCGAGTGGCGAGAGTCCGCCGCTAAGGCCCATGTGGCAGAATGTTAACAACTGATAAAATCTCAGTGAAGCCTCTACAGAAGTTCTTTGTACGTTCTTACAGCTTTCCCAAAATATATAAAATCATTTCAAAATAAAGGTTTTTTTTAATATTTCAAAGAAATCACCAGATTTGCCCTGCAGAAGAGAGTGAAGAATGCCAGCTGCTCTGCACTGCAGCATGGCAAACACACTTCCTGAAAAAAGCAAACCGAATGGTTTTAAGGAGAATATTCATGTGACAGATCAGCAGAGGCCGCAAGAGCAAGGCAGACTTTCTGCTGTCAAATTTTGAACCGTTTCTCGACTTTCTCGAGCTGTCTCAACATATACAGGAAAGGTTAGCAAGATTCCAGGTCGCGTCTGTGCGCTCTCGGTAGATGGCCACACTGTTGGCGCTGTAAGCAGCTCCAGAATATTCTCCCCTGCCACAGAAGAGCTGCAGCTGACGCCAGTGACGGGGAGCCTGGCCGCAATCCAGTTAATCTGCTCATTGTCGCCAGGTCCCTGCCCCAGGATGGTGAACACTGTTCGGCTGCCCACGTCAAGCAAAGGGGAGACCCCCAGAGGCCGGGGTGCCGGCCCTGCGTTATCAGCATGCGCGCCAGCTCCGAGATGTGTGTGCTCTTTGTAAAAACACAGGCGCTGAAAGATGTAAAACAAACTTCAGGCTGTGCCAAAGCTGCCCGGGCACGCTGCAGGGGTTAGGTGCTGTCAGTCCTCGCTCGGAGTGAGACAGCGTGATTCTGACATTTACTACCAGAGGGCTGGGCCAGCGGGCTCCAAGCTTTTGCAGAATGTATTGTTTTTCAAAACAACACAAAGCTCCTAAACACTGATAGCTGTGAGAGTAGGTGTTCTTTGTGCCTGGAAATATATATTAGGGATAAAAAGTCCAATTTCAAGATGCGTCACTGAGGAAGTCATTGAAGAATCTCATTATTCATTTTGCCCTAAATTCTGGTTTTTGCTCTCTAATGTGTTGCTAGGCCCTTCCGTGATCTAAGTGCCAATAAAGGGCTCAGGCTGAACAGGTTTGAAGAATGCAGATTCCCAGGGTGGGTGTCTATCTCCAGGGAGCCCCAGGAAGCACCAGCTGACAGTCCAAGGACACCCCTCAACAGTGTCTGATCAACACATGGTCCAAAATCTGGCTTCAAACCCCCAGGCACAGAACCCGATCCTGTCAGCACAGTTGTGCCAGTGCTCACTGGCAGATGCCCAATAGCCCACCTCAGATAGTTTTAGCATCAGAAATGCAGATTACTTCAGTGCAGGGAGGCCCAGGATTGTCACAAACATGTTGGTGTGAGTATGCACCTGGGCATGCTAACTGGGAAGCCAAATTATAAGCAGTGGGTGTTGGCAAAGATGAAAACAGAATCAGAGAGATCAGCTAAAATCAGGCATCCAAAGCATCAGACTCGAGAGCCCTAAGCATCCAACTAAGAGATACACATACCCGGGTCAGGACTGAACAGGTGGTGCCCCCCAGGCTGAAGCACAAGCTTCCCTAAGACCTGGATGGGCTCTGCCCAGCACCGGCCTCTGTTCTATTCTTTCTCTATTTTTACATTCCTGGCCCATCTTCTCTCTATCCCCATGACCCCCAAGGTCCACCCCTTCTGATGGACACATTCTTTTCCCAAAGTCTACCTGCTGCGACTGAGCAGAGTGAGCCAGAGGACCCTGGGTCCATCTGAGCAGACTTTGGTGATTTTAGATCTCATTCACTTTGTGTCCACCATGTGGGCACCTCAAGAGGAAATCCGAACCTCCAAGTCCATGGTTGGCCAGCTGTTTCTCTTGCATTAAACAAACCCATAATGCATGCCATTGTCCAGTTCAGGCTGCAGCAGATACTGGCAAAGCAGTCAGAGGGCAGAGTCCTTCTAGGTTTATAGGATATTCCTTAATCTGCTTTTTTCATTCAACGGCAAGTACTTTGAGCAGCTTGCCTTCGTAGTCTATCAGAAGATTTAAAAGAGTTTTCATTTAAAAACCAAGTTCACCAGTATGGACAAGATCTGTGGCTACCTAGAGCCGGGGGGATGTAAAATGGGCAAAAGGGGTTAAAAGGTACAAACTTCCAGTTATAAAGTAAATAAATACGGGGTTGTTATGTACTATATATTGTGACTAGACTCAATATCTGAAAGATGCTAGGAGAGTCGATTTTATAATTCCCATGAGAAATTTTTTTCTTTATAACTATATACAGTGATGGATATTAACTAGACTGATTGTGGTGATCATTTTACAATATTCTCAAATATAGAATCATTGTGCTGTAATGATTATATAGGAGCTGACATCAATATATTATTATGTCAATTATACCTCAATTTGCAAAATTTTTTTCAAGTTTTCATTAAAATAACTTTCTCTTTCTATTCATGTTTCATCCATTTATATCATTAAATTACATACCTAAAATGAACAGCACAAAGGGCCTAAACAGATCTGGGGTCCACTCTTGGGCTGTATGTGTGGGCGGGTGGGAGAGGCGCAGGCACATGCCGGAGGAGAGCGGCTGCTCTCCAACTGTCAGAAAGGTTTAGGGAGCAAAGGAGAGCCCCGCCATCCCTGCGTGCTGCTTAGGCAGATTTTTTTTTTTTTTAATAATTTCCTCTGCTACATTCTTTTTTTTTTTTTTTAAGATTTATTTATTTATTTATACAAGCACTGGGTACAATCAGAAGCGCGGGAGGGTGAGAGAATTCACCAGAGCCAGAGCAGGGAACAGAACAGGCAGACTAACGAAGTACACTGCTGAGGGGAGCAGCGGGAGGCAGGAGAGGTCTGCGCGCCATGTGGGACCCACGCCCGTGACCAGGGATCGAACAGGCACTGCAGAGCCTACGGGCAGCTTTGCAGCCCAGCGCTCAACCACTGCGCCACCAGGGGAGACCCTGCTTAGGCAGATTTAATTAAGAGTTTCTGCTGTGTTTTTTTAAAGATTTATTTATAATGCAAGAACTGGGGTTCAGGCCAGAGACTCAGGGGGTGAGAGGATTCACCAGAGACAGAGTAGGGAGTAGAACAGGTGGATCTACTGAAATACACTGCTGAGGGGAGCAGCAGGCGAGACAGGAGAGGTTTGCTGCGCCATGTGGGTAGCTCCCTGGCCGGGAATGAACTCGTGCTGCTCTGGATAGCTTCATGGTGCTGCGACTTAACCCCGTGTGCCACCAGGGAGGCCCTGAGTTTCTGCTGTACTTAAGCATATTTAAGTATATAAATATTAATTTTTTGGTGGAATTGTTAACCTTCTAACAGGGGGGTGCTGGTATGATTCTAATTTCCAGGATAGACTTTCCACCATTCTGCTTTATTTTCTCCTCCTTGCCAAAGAACTCGAGGTGTCCCACATTATCCTGTACTGTCTGATTCCCACAAAACCATCTGTAAGAGGCTTCTTGTTTGGCACACATTCTTGCAGTCACGCCAAGAGCAGCAGAGAGGCTTGCACAGGAGCGGCTGTAGATGTCAGTTCAGGGAACCAGAAACATCCCAGGTAGCATATCTGAGTTAGGGTGTCATCCTTTCTCTAGGACCAGGTTTCCATGTGGAGCAACCTCTGTTAGGGCGGCACGTCTATCAGTGTGACTTCATTGATCCCTGTCACCCCTGTGTACACCTCTTGGGAGAATGTAGAGTGAATTGTCTGATTAATGACTGGGGATGGAGGAGAACTGAGCATACTGAGCTCAGCCCTTCTTTCATCTTTGCAATGTGTCTGCTTGCGAAGAGCAGACATTATGGACTACTTTCGTTGTCATGTGATAAGGGAGCCTCTCCTTGAGAGGGGGTCTACAGCTGTAGAGCATTGCCTGTGAGTTTGTGGACGCCTGTTAGATTACTGTGCGGGGGAGGGAGAGTTAGACATGCTCTCTAATAAGTTTACCGATAATAAAAATTATTTTCATATTCTCCGTCCGACTCCTGCATCCACCTTGAATTTAATTCTGAACTTAGAAGGGAAAGGGACGCTACCATGAGAAGCAAGGTTGCCTTATACTGAAAATTGAGGTTACAATAGCATAAATCAGAGCCCAAAACTCAGCAATAACGTTAGGACTAGTCAAATAAACATTTAAGAGGAACTTTTTTTTTCTTTTAAAAATAGGTGATCAATAAAAAGAGAGGGATTAGAAGAGTAGAATGTCCCTACATGTAGCCTAACTTCCAAATAAAACAAATTCTAGAAAGAATAGAGAAAACAAAGGGAATAAAAGAAATAGCTAAAGATATTTTCCCAGAACTAAAAGCCATGAGTTTCTGAATGGAAGAGGCTTACTCGTCAATATCCTAAGTGCACAAGGAAAAATACCGGCAGGAAAGTGCCAAAATGAAATGCTAAAACATTAGGAACATTAAGAGATTGCAAAAATTTCCAGAAAAAAAAATCATTTGGTCAAGAA